AAAGGAAACATACAAGAAGTGTGTATATATGTGTATGCTTATCTCTCTCCCTCTTTTAAAGCCAACCGAAATCAGTCATGAAAACTCCATCTAAATGTCATTATCTAATTCTAAGTAAGCTTTGAAGATCCAAGTTATAAACATCATAGGTTAATTTTCCATCCACTTACTATCTTACCATGGGGCTTAAATTTCAACCCTTGAGAGACATTGGAACCATATCCAAATCATAGCACCCTGCTTTAAGAACATATTTTGGAGGGGAATAGAAGTAGGTAGTAGCCTCGGTCTTCTTGACTCACCTCTATCAGCATAAAAAGCCATGACCAGGGTTATAAGGACCCAAATGTTCTTCATGATACCTTGCCCAAGATAGGGTTTCTAACCCAGGAATGCGCACTTGGTAGAAGAAGGCAAGTCCATACATCTCCACTACAATTGCCTACAATTTAGAAATGATAACATCCTACCCCTATGGGTAGATAGCCCTGCAGCTAAAGCCTGGGGGGAGGAGGTGCAGTTTGTGCTTGGTGTACTGGTCTGCAGTGATTTTCCCATCTTGGTTAACAGTGACTGTGGAAGGACTAAACATCTGGTTCATATACCACAGACTCCCTTACATTTAGTATATTTTTTAAAATAAACTTTGTTTTACTTGCTGTGCACTTAAGACATTTTCAAGAGACTCTACATTTCTTAAAATGTTTTTCACCAGTTCTTTTAGGGACTGGGTTTGTGGACTTTCTCCTATTGTCATGTCCTAAGTCTAAACAAACAAAACCAAAACAAAGCCAGTTGCGGTGGTATACTCCTGTAATCCTAGAGGCTTGGGAGGCTGAGGCAGGAGGATAGTGAGTTCAAAGCCTGCCTCAGAAACTCAGCAAGGTCCTAAGCAACTCAGTAAGAGCCTGTCTCTAAATAAAATACAAAATAGGACTGGGGATGTGGCTCAGTGGTTGAGTGCCCCTGAATTCAATCCCCAGTCCAAAACCAAAACAAAACAAAATTAAAAAAAAAAGAAAAGAAAAGAAAAAACAGTGATTCAAACAAAGACAAATAAAAGTGAATTATGTGTTAAAAAGCCTTCTTGGAAGAAATGTAGTATCAGCTAAATCTTGAGGGGTAACAATTGTTGCTGGGAATCAAAGGTTCTACTACTCTTGATTCACCAAAGATCTGGAGACAGGTTGGTGAAGGAAAACTTGTCTTATTCAAAACAGACCCTGAGGACGATAGAGTATAACTTTTCTGTCTCAAACATTCATCTTTGCAAGGGCTCAGGGGATAGAAACAGCTTATATAAGAGAAGGTGGGATGCAGAGGGATGAAGGCAGGATATACACCTATGTAGATTTAGCCAGACTGTGCTGGTCTGAATAAATTCCATTTCATTTCCTTGATGTTGGACTTGACCAGAAGGTAGTGGCCATTTTTAGCAGGAGTAAGCTCTGTATGTAGAAGAGAAGTTACTAAAAATTTGCCTTTAATTTTAAAGGGTCTCCCTTACACAAGGAATTCAATAATTAGAAGAGGAAATTATTAATTTTTTTTAATTGTTGAACTGCCAGATTTCTTTTACATGACAACCAAGGATACAAAAATTCCAAATATCTGATAATACTTTATTACCATGTGACGTCATAGGGCAGTGAAAACAGTTCAGAGTTTCTTTTCTAAAGTTTTAAGGAAAATACTCTAAAATACTGAATGGAAAAGAAACACTACTGGGGATGTATCTCAGTGGTAGAGCACCGGTCTACTAGCATGTTGTGATCCTGTGTGCTATCCTCAGGATGGCAAAAAAAAAAAAAATAAATAAATAAATACAATGCAAATAAATAAAAAGATACTAATTCAGTATTAATTCATTAACTTAATAAATTTGAGCAATTATTAAGTGCACCAAATTAACAAATTTGGGTTAAATGTAGCATATTAATTGCATACCATTGAATTCTTTACAGCTATGAAAGGTGTATTTAAATTTAATTCTGAGCTTTCCATAGGCCAAACTAAAGAAAAATAAATAAATAATTTTCAAAATGCCTATTGCTATTTATATTAAAAGCAATTATTTGTAGATGTGATAAGAATAATGGAATATATCACTCATTGACAAAACATTCTTGGCCATCTATGATCATCCAAAGAGTTAGAAGATAACACCCAATCTTACCATGCTTCTACCAAAAAAGAAAAAATGGTGATATTTTACTCTGAGCTCCTGGAATAGATAAATGACACTGTATCCCCAATAGCACTATGAGAAAAGATGCATAATTTATGTTTAAAATTATCCCAAAATTAGCTTATGGAACTTTTCTCTTCTTTAAATATATTTATTTTTTAGTTGTCAATGGACCTTTGTTTTATCTATTTTTACGTGGTGCTGAAAATCAACCCAGTGCCTCACACATGCTAGGCAAGTGCTCTACCCTTGAGCTACAACCCCAGCCCACTTTTCTATATTTTATACTTGAAATTCAGACCCTGTTGTTCATCTAGGCCTGAGATCCTAAAATGTATTGCAACTGTGAAAGACAAAAAAAGAGAAGGGAGAATTAGAACCTGCTCCTTGATATAATTGTCTTTTTACTGAAATTTTACATATGTGTGCGCACATGTGTGTGCGCAACATGACAGAGAGGGAGGACAAAGAATAACATCTTAATGTCCTATCAACCATGATCATTGACTTTAACTCAATGAGATTAATAACATTTTCTTCACTTCAGAAGAAATAAAATAATGTTTAAGATCAGGCTAGCTTTTCCTTGAACCTTATATTTTCGAAGAGTATATGCCGATTATTTGCTCTCTGTTCTTTATAACTTATTCAATCTATCTTGATGGTTGGATAATTATTAATGGAATGGTTAAACTAAACAAAAGTATTTACAGAAGGCTTCTATAGCTATTTATATATATGTGAGTTGGTATAAAATATGAAATGGAAAGATTTCATATTGTAGAAATAAATGAAAAGCCAACAGTCTTTGGGTTTTCATACGGAGAATCACAAAATAAAGGTAATCAGGAAAGTGTTGATTTCTGCATCTAAAATATGGGGATTGCATTACTTACTTCATATCTATTTTGTGAGGAATGAATGAGATAGAATTATGTGAATTATTTTGCCTCACATACACACTTGATGTTAATGGTGCTCTTGATATTGACAACAACAGTAGGAGAGGCCTAGAATGTCTTGGATTTGTCCAATATTATGTGAGCACTTTTATTTTCTTCACATACAGTATTTGCAATCCGTAAATAAAGAGTTAAGTGATTGGACTTCAGTTTCCTTGAGAATAAAATTTGGTGACATAATATTCATAAGATCCTGGAGATAGTAGGAAGCAATGATAGAATGCCAAACTTCTTTTATTTTTTGCAAACATTACTTGTTTTCTTCCGAGGAGCTTCTATTAAGCTCATGGTCACGATAGAAAGGGGATATAAATCTTTAAATACAAAATCATGTTGTATTTAAAATGTAAACTTGGCAAGGTTTTGTTGAGTAAATAAAGAATAAAATGTTAGTTACTTATCTTAGAGAGACATACATTATATTTTTATCAGACTTTTCATTATATCAAAATTAAGGAGGTGCGTGCTTCCTCCCTGAGTAAAGAATGAAATTAATTCATCAAGACAAAAAAAAACATCAAAAGAAATGGGTAGTAACACTTGAGACATTTGATGCCATCACCTTGATTTTTCAGGAACTGATGATATGAGCCATTACTAAAGTGGCAGGATTCCATGGACTACAGTATTCAGTGCAAATTAGAACCTTTGAGAGCAGCCGTGGGAATTAACTGAATCAAATCTTGATTTATAACTAGTGGGGTTAATCAGCTGTAAAATTGTGGCATGAATATGATGATTTGGTGTGTACTTTAGAAGCTTCTATTATATTTAAAAAAAACTATGTAAAGGTTGTAGTGATCTGAACCTAGTCAATTGTCAAAAGAAGTTTGATGCATCAAATGCAAGCCTGTTGGTTAATATTCAAAAGCCAAACATTTTTCCCTCTTGACTTGCTTATAAATATTCAATGCCACAGAAACACAAATAAATAATTGGCCATCTCCAATGCATTCTGTATAATTTACAACAGATCAAAAGATTATTACATGGTACAGCCAGAGTCAAACTATGTTGCATTTATTATAAGTGAAAAATCATAAGTTGGTGCAAGTCAGCAATTTATTAACGGACCAGATCTGAGTGTGTATAAATTTATGTGTGTATGCATGTGTATGTGTGCATGTTTGTATACACATGATTTCTTAAATCAAAAGACTTACAGATTAAGGAATTGAGTATTCATCTGGGAAAATCAGAAGAACAATATTATTTCTTTATTCTGATTACATTCTTTATAAAAAATGACAATATTAAAATAACTTGGGCTGGTCCTACCTCAAAATATCCCAATGTCATTCTAATGAAGTAAAAAAAAAAATCAACAAAGTATGTAATTCCCCATCTTTAATTTTATCCATTTTATAATTGTTAAGGACCTCTTCTCAACAAGTGATTTTATTCTGGCCTTATTCGAGGTTTTCAGGGTTCATCTCTAATATATGTACAGCCAAAACAAGAAGTAATCGCTCATAATGGGTTGTGTTCTCCCCAAGACAAAGATAAATCTTTGTGGCATACAACATTTTTCTATTAAATAATGGGCTTTATCAATAAAATAAAGCTTGATTTATCAAGGAAACCTCTTTTAAATTCATTCAGATGTTCTTTTATTTTCAAGCTATGCTCCATCAAATGGTGTTTGAAATAAAAATTTATGTTTTTTTTTTAATTTTTCTAAGTAGTCAAGCACTTACTATGTTTCTTTATTGAGTGGTCAGACTCCATAATCATCATGTTGCAAAAAAGCCTAATTAAGGGAAGTGGAAATAGACACAGAACAGAGAAAGTTGAGTTGCACGTTCAAATGAAATACCATCCATGCTGATGTTATCTTTTCCTTCCCATAGGGAACCACAGTCAGATATCACGAGTACCTGTTGCTATTAAAGTGCTGGATGTCAATGACAACGCCCCTGAATTCGCATCCGAATATGAGGCATTTTTATGTGAAAATGGAAAACCCGGCCAAGTAAATATCTCCATGTTGTTAATGATGAATATGTTTGTATACAACTGTCTCATATTTAATTAACCTGCATTATAGTGTGCATTTGCATCATTTATGATCTGTGAAGTCACAGGCAAGAAACACATTCAAATGGGAACAGAAAAGGGATATTTTTCTTCTTGAGATGTTAATTCTCTTCCTACTTAGACCAAATTGGCTCCTAAAAGTGGAACAACCTGCTGTGCCATGAACCTAGAGCCAAATCACTCTTAAAATACACTGGGATATGTTTTTTTTTTTTTTTTTCTTGGAGTGATCAAGTTTTCATCTTAACCTTCAAATGACAGGAAGCCAGTGAAGAGCTCATGGGGAGGCCACTTTTGTTTTATCAAACATGAATAGCACACGATAGTGGACCCCAAGAAGAAAAGTGGAAGTTGTAGGAAGTGAACATTGAAATCTGTACAAATGTAGTTATACTTAGGTCTGCCTAAGATGAGCAATAGTTTTTAGACATGCATGTAAAGCACTTAATAATTGTGTATTGAGGGAACTTTTATTTATTTATTTTTAACCTGCCTCTGTAGCATAGATAGGGACCATGAAGACAGAAAAAAAAAGAAAAACCAATGAAAAATTGGAAAGACAGAAAGGAAAGGATAAAGGAAGGAAGGAAGGAGGGAGGGGGAGGGAGAAAAGGAGGAAGAGGGAAAGGGAGGGAGGGGAAAAAGGGGAAGAGTTTAATCAAGAAAGAAGAATAAAAACAAAAGCCTGCTATACTCTGAATGTCAAAATGGAAAGAGCCTATGTAAAGTTCTATGTAATAGATTTATTTTAACAAGGTGCCAAAGTACTGTATGTTTAAGAAATTTATCATTTTTCAACTTCCTAATTTATTTCTGGATGGTGACATTTTAATTTAAATAAACAGCAGCTGACAGCATGACACTGGAGTTGTTAATCCAACTATTCTTGTGCCTCATGTGGGTGTTAGGAATTAAACTTACTATTTGCCAAGCAGCTTACCTGACAAAAGTCAGATTTTTTTTTCCTAAAGAAAGGAGTAGCACTGTAGCTCTGTTTTTTTAAGAAAAAAAAAAATATTGCAAAAGATGAATGTGTTACCTTCCCATAAAACTGTGGGCATTTCCCCCCTAGACTTGTCTCATGTATCTGAAGGACTAGAATTGTGTCCATCTACCAAAATCTGACACTCCCCACACACAATAAAGCTAAAATCCTAATAATAAAACTGATTAATTTTTAAACATATAGACATCGTGTCCTTGTCAAAATATTCAGTTTAGAAATCATACACTTCTCTTCATAATATTCTAATGATAATATATATGTTTCTTAACTTTACCATGTGGACTTGGCCTTTATCAATCATATTTTTGAGCATCTTCATTTGTGATTCTTTGAGGATGGTGTGAGGTGTTTATGGTGTGTGTGTGTGTGTATGTGTGTGTTTGTACACATATATCAGTAAATCTCATTTAGATATGTTGGTGAAATGAATTGGCAGAGAGAGTTTGATCAAAATATGACAGGTTAGTTTCAAGTGTATCAAGGGTATGGTTGTTGTGTGGACCAGAAAATTGCTGAGCTAATGTAGTCAATCACAGATATTAGCTAGATCTTTGTGATTACACAAAATCTTTACAGTACTTTAGAATTTAAATAAAACTTCATTGCTCATGCATAACTCATCACACAAGTTCAGAGAGTCAATGACATTGACATTTTAAAAACTCAACATTGGCTTCACTTGTAATATTGACAAGCATGCCTTTTTGAATCTCTAGGAATCTGGAGGTTTGCCCTGTGGATTTTGAAGGTTTCCAAGGTTTTAATGATTTCTCAGCAGTTCTTTTTATCTTCAGAGAAAAAAAGATACATTGTTTCCTCACCATTTCTATGCAAGATCAAAATAAAAAAAAAATTGTTTCTTTCTTTTATGAACTTCACAAATTGAAATGAATGGCTCATTCTATAAAGAAATGCTTGTGTTGTATGTGTGTGTCCACTGCACCATGATATCCCCTGACGAATCTATTTAAGCATGTTTGGTAGAGGTTGTTTGTTACATGAAAATATCAGATCTTGGACTGTTTATCATCATCCATGGACCTATGGCTGACCAGTTGAGGCATTTAAAATTGTTTATATAACTATCTTCAATTACTTGAACTCTTTGTGTCAGCCAGAATTCATTTTTGATTCTTTAAATCATTATTAGGTCACTTCTGATGCTCATATACATTGCTTTTATATTGAATACTTTTCAAAATTCCTATTTGCTATTTACACAAAGTAGTTTTCATTTTTAAAAGTTAGACATAGATACAATTTAATTCCTCTCATAATGGCACCACACAAATGGGTGAATCACTTTGGAATTAGAATATTTCTTTTTAAAAGATAACAGTCATGAAAAATAATGTCCACACTGACTTAGCCTTAAACACATAGTTATTTCAATAATTTTCAAGAATTAATGTCTGCTTTAAGATAACCTCAGAAAAAGAGTGAAAGTGACATTCAGATATGTTGTTTGTCTGCAAGGTATGCATTTAAGGCTAAGCCCAAAAGAAATTAGCTTTCTGGGAAAAGATACAGATGGAGATCTTTAGCAATAATCTAGTTATTAAAACAAAATTTCAGTCTATATCAACTTTTTGGGCTGTGAGGACCTATGTAAAACATCTTAGAAAATGAAAACTAGTATCAATAAAAACACAGAATCTATTGCAATTTTTTCTTATCCACAGAATTGGACTCATCTAAACACTCTCAGAATTTAAAAGAAGGAAAAAAAAGCAAGACCTTGTTGGTCCAATGTGGTCATTTATCTCCTGTTCATGATGTAACTGTGCTAAAAGAAGTGTAGGTACACTTTGAAAGTGGAAATGGAAATCATACCTGCCCTACCACTTTCTCATGATTCTGGAGCAAAAGGTGACATCCTTTGGATTTTCTCTCTCAAGAGAGTAATAATCAGGGTCAGAGGGAGAGAGAGGTCACAGTCCACTATAGAGCATATATCTGAATCCCTCTTAAATTAAATCTTTTTAAATAGCCCTTTTGTGAGATCATTAAACATTACTATAGCATTTTATGATTGCTAGATTCTTCTATTTGAAACAAATATCTAGTAATTTTAGATGATTTACTTTAAGTCAAAAGATAGGACAGGGTGTATATCTTCTGTACAGTCTCATTCAACAATTGGCCCCAGTATATTTTCTATGAATTGCTTGGTTCTAGTTTAGTAACCTAGATTAAAAAAAATATTAAACTTATGTTTCTGTGTGTCCAAGACAAAAACTGGAGTGTTCATTGGAGATTCCAAATTTAGAAAGCAAAATATATGTGTGCCACATCATGTGTCTGATAGTGTGATAGGTCATTGAGTATCAAGTATGTGCCAGGGCTTGGGTAGGCACTGGAATTTTAGTGTCATGTGACATGAAAAAAAAATCTCCTTTCATCATAGAATGTTCTACATGGATAAATTAGAAATGATAGATTTTCAAGTAAATGCCTCAAGTCCTCTGGCCAGAAAGGAGACTGAAGGGTTATGGGGAAATGGAGCTATCTCAAGAAAAGATCTCTCAATCCAGGACATGTTCCACCAGGGAAAGAATGTTTTTATTAAACTAATAGTCTGAAGAGACTGACAATCTGGCTGGACAAACAGGTAACAAATGTGGAGAAATGGGTATCTTTCCTCGGAATGCTTGACAACGCCACTCTCAGAACCAAACATGAATGGAGGGCCTTTCAAAGTTCTGTTCTACATCTCATCTCCTGAACAGGATTTGCTAGGGTTTTATTTCAGATACTCTTATCTTGCTTACCATATATAGAATTAGGTTGACTTGCATCAAGTTAGTCATCGGTAGGGGCTAAACCGAAGACTGTCTTTCTATGTGTGAGTCAAGGGCTCTTGTTTAGTCTCAGAGAATATTCAATGTTTGAAATTTAATTAGGTGACAGACAGCTTGAGGCCTATTTTTCCTCCAAGAAAGAGCTTCCACTTTTACCATAAATAAATCTAATGAAGTATAATTTGGGCTTCATCACCATCCATACCTAGCTGAGATCAGTTGTTTAGTGTCAAGTAATTATATCTGGGTTTCATAAAAAGAAACCAAACCAACAAAAAAATCCTTTGGTTTACCGTCTCAAATATCATATTTTTTATCTCTGGACAGCACTGTACAATATAAAGTGTGTTTATTGTTGGGATATAACAGTACAATATATGTATATGTATATATTTTTTCACCCATGTGATACATATCTGGACAATATTCGGCACATAAAAGATATTCATGAAATTTGAAAATTGTTTCTAATTCATTTCAATCAGTAATGACAAATATTTTAAGACTTAATTTCTTAGCTATTACCATGGAAACAGGTGTTTTACTCATGCACGGCATACATGCTCACTTCTTTGGATAAAAAATCGTCCACTTATTTATTGAACAATATTATGCATCTACAAGATGCTAATCATTGTAATATGATCTGGGGAAAATATGAAAGGATAAAAAAGTGTTCTTATGAAGCTTAATGAGGAAGATAGATTATAAAAAGGGTAGAATGAATAAATAATATAATTTAAAAATTTGAAAATTGGGTTGAAATAAATATTAAAGCAACTAGGTAGAGGAGAACCAAGAAGTTGCAGGGAGAGAAAATTACTTTTTAAGTGGGCATCATTTAAACTGAAATTGGAAAAACGGGAAAGGACAAGGCATGAAAGGACCCTACTAGCCAGAAGTATCAGCACAAGTAAAGACCCTGAAGCAAGAAAGACCTCGGTTTGTTTGAAGAACTGAAGACATCTCTGGCTAGATTGCAATAAGCGAGAATGAAATTGGACAGAATGAATTTCATGTCCAAATCAAATATGTACACACACACACACACATGTTGTAAAGGAAGAAACTTTAGGAAACTATAACTGTGAAAGATAATGGTAGTTTGGTCTGAGGTGATAGTTATAG